CCTCGTCTATATTTAGTTTTTGTACTTTCCTTTGTATTAATAAAGTGCTTATCTGACTAGAACTTTGCTCCTAATTTGTGTTGAAGAGAAGTGACAGCAGCAGAATCTAAATATGCTCTATCACTTTGAAGTATGCTTTCCATGCTTTTCATGAGCTACCTGCCTGAAATGATCCTAAACTGCATAGGAAAAAAAGGCTCAAGAATGTACATGTTCTTGTTTAGTAGCACACAATGGAACATAAGCACTTTTAAGCTATTCTCCAACCTGCAAAATCGAAAAAAAAAAAAACAAAACCTCAATAGTTACAATTTTTATTTGCTATCTGCTGAAGGAACAAAATGTGTATGTGTGGAAATAACAGAAGTCCTGTTTCTTCTCAGTGTGATCCTAAAAGACTAATATTTTATTCTCCCAGTTATTATGTCCACTTTGCAGCACGTAAGAAACCTCCTGAAGCTGAAAGCGTGCTTGTGAAAGAATGTTCCTACACAAACTGTGCTTTACTGACACCTCCTACATGCAGTGTGGAGACAAGCATGTACGTTAACTTGAAGTATAAAGTGCTGTAGTACATCCTTCTGTGAAAGCATTATCTGGCAATTGTAAATTTGTGAAGAGTTTGTTATCTGAAAAGACTCTTGCTGTAGTGCTTCGGTTCAGCTGTAGAAATTCAGTGGGTAATATTAAACGAAAGTCAAAGCTGTAAATTAAAAATGTGTGTGAAGATTAAGACTAAAGAAATCAGTTTACTGATTATCAGACTAAACAAATCAAGTTCTTGGTTTGGGGTTGGTTTCTTTTTTACTTTGTGCAAAGCAAATTCACCTGCACTGAATACAGGCACTGACCAAGAAAGCAAAAATCCTTTCAGCAGAATGTAACACTTTCCAGGTGAAGTCCAGGCACCTTTTCATGTCCCAAACCTTAAATTTCAATACCTCTACTCAGCCACACTAGTCCATTTAGCAACAATACACTTGGAGTAAGTGTGAATCACACCAGAACACTGTTATGAAGTGGCAAATTTTACAAAGAGAAGAAAAGGAACACAAGCAGCTTCAGCACTCAACGCTATATGAATGTGCTTCACCTTGAAGCACAAGCAGCACCAAGGTCCACACACTTGAGAGGGATGCAAGTCCACTATGGTGAGTCCATTATTTCTTGGCATTTTTCACACAACACTGTAAGATTAATACAACTGATTGTCACCAATAACATATTTATCTGGTGCCTCAATGAGAAACAGGAATTTTTAATTATTTTTTAAAGAAAAATCTATATCCCATCTACAATTAACTGCTTAAACACAAAGTATTCTGGTTTTATGTAATTATAAGATTAAATACTACTGGCTCACCACATTTTTAATTAGTATATTTCATTTTGGCTTATTTTTTAATCATGCAGTTACAGACAGAATATAAGTATCCAGAAACAGTGGCTTGAAAGAAAACAGAAGTTATTACTGCCCACTCATGAACTGAATGAAGCACATCTCCTGTGGAGATCTCCAATATTAACAAAGAACCAAAATAATACAAATCCTACTGTCTTCTCACACACACACTCAAGTTTACAATATTGGTATTAAACTATCTGTATAAGTGCTGCATGCATTACAGTACTGTAAAAGGCTGGCAAAAGCCTCGGTGAAAGAAGTAATGTAGTAAGGATTAATGCTGTAAAAACTTTGTAAAGGAGTAACGCTGTAGTAGTGTACTACACCAAAATGTTGTGTATTCAAAAAGGATTTGTGGAAATCTGACATCTGTCAGTGCACTTCCAGAAGATATATATGAGCACATTTCAGTTTAGCTACAGCTTCAGATGATACAAAGGCCTCAACACACTTCTGAAGAGGAAACCATAATTTGGTTATTTATTCCTGCTTCAAACAGGAATGCATACTTACTTCTAAGTATAAAACTCTGTATTTAATCACTAGATTTGTATCTTTTAGATCATGCCACTAGTAAGAGCGCTAGCTTCTCCAGCATAAAGTTTGCATGTAAATAATTACACAAATTGAACAAATAATGAAGTTGGTGCACGAGAACATTTTCAAGTATGTTGTGTTACATTATTAATTCCCAACGTAAGATCTAATGCAATTTACAAGGCCTGGGAGCCTTTCACTATTTTGCAAATGAACTGATGTTTTCCACTACTGACAACAGAGGAAAATACAGAAGGCATTTATCAAAGGAAAAGTGAAATAAGGAAACAGCTTCTTAGTAGCAGAGAAAGAAAACAAGTGATTCCATGCTCTATCTAAGCTTCCTTTTGGCAACTCTCCAGTCTTACCATACAACTATGTGCATGACCTATATGGATTGAGGTTGCACTTCAGATATACAGAGTATAACTTGGTGAAACAGTGAAAAAAATGACAATTTTAAATTAAAAATACCACGATAAACTGCTATCTAGTAAGCCCATCTTCATGCAGCCAACTATTATATACAAAATAATACTACTACATCTGATACCACATGTTAACTATACCAGAATGACTCTGAACAAGTCTTGAAGCAAGTCTGAACAACCACTGTAAGTAACTCCTTGGGTGAGTTCAGGCTGTTTAACAGCTGAGTGTTGCTGTGAACAGAACATAACAAATTTGATGAGGAGCCACCACAATACATGTGTGTTTTGGTGAAGTCCCCTGGCAGCCGGGTTGGCTTACCTGCTCTGAGAATTAAGAAAGGATGCCCTGTTTCTTTAATATTAAAGAAATACTGGTTTTGAAGGGACAGATTCATTTTCTGCAAAATTCTGCCACAGATTAAATATGACCCATTGCTCTGATTAAACACCATTCTGCAAGATTTCTATGTACATTTTTAACAATTAATTTTTCCATGCCAGCTGAGACTTGTATCACAGCCAGAAAATGGTCTATGTAAAGCAAGACAAAGATTCACAATGCAGAACAGACAAATCCTTAAGTAAGGATTACCATACCCTTCAACACCAGGTTGAGATTCCACACCTACCAGTCATGAAGACACAATCCGAGCAGTCTCTCCCTCCAGCACTGACTGCATTGTGACAGAATAAAATCAATACACACATTATTGCGCACCAGGGACTGGTCCTACCCTGTGCAAGCAGCAACACTGAGATGCAACAGTGGACAACTGCACTTGGTGCCTCCCTGCGCTGCGCAGAGCAGCACGTTCCGCCGCCGCAGGAGCTGCGTTTCATCCAGTATTTCCTCATCTTCTGCCCCCTCGTTCTGAACGTGAATCTCCCCCAAGCGCCCCGCGGGCCCCCCGGCCTCGGCAACTCCAGCGCGGGGCAGGGCGGGCCCGGATCTGACCCCGGCGCCAGTGCTGGGGGTTTGAGGGGGCTCCCCCCTGCGGCCAAGGTCTCCCCTGCCCACACACTTGATACCGGAAGTGACGTACCCAGGCGCTGACGGAATCCGCTGCCTATCCCCGGAGAGCGGCGGAGCCAAGGCACCACTGCGGAGCGCCCGGGGGCGGCACTTCCGGGCCCGCAAGTTAGTCTGGAGCAGACAGAAGGGGGGGGCGGGGGAAAGGCCTCGACAAGGAAAATCACAATAACCGGGGAGCCCGAGGGGGTGGGGGGCAGCAGGAGGCCCCGCCCGGCAGCAGCCGCCACGACCCCGCCTCTCACCGGGCCGGCGGCCCCCGCCCGCGGCCCAGGCCGCTCCCCCCGCCGGGGACAGCTCCCCCGCGTAGAGCGTGGACACCAAGTGGAGGAGCCGACCTGAGGAGCGCGCGCGCCAGCCCGCGGCTGGGGGGGGTGTCGGGCTCAGGCCCATCCGTCTGTTCCACCCGCCCGCCAGCTCCCCGAAGCCCCACACCCAGGCCCCTGCAGCCATTCCCCGCGGAGTGTCCCCGGCTCGCCGCCCGGCCCGCGGGCGATAGTAGCGCCCCACGAGGACCGCGTCCGCGGCCACCGCCCCGTTACCTGCCGCAGGGTGACCCGGAGCAGCGCGGGGACCCGGATGGAGTCGCGACCGCTCCTGCCGCCGCTCGCCGCGCGGCACCACGGGAAGGCGCGACGCGCCCCGCGCCGCACGCCCCATTGGCTGACGGGCACCAAGACCCGCCCACTAGAGGCTCTGGGCGGAGAGGGCAGCCCGTCCGTCATCCGCGGCCTCTGACGCCCATTGGGGTTGGTGCCGTGGGGCACCGCCCCCCACGGGGCTTTAGGCCCTTACTGGGCAGCAGTGGAAAGGTCTCCGCCTCCTCCGCCATTTATTATAGGCGTCGGCGTAGAGGGCCTTGTAATGGCGCCCCTGGCGGCCCTGAGGGGTGCGGCGGCCCTGAGGGGTGCGGCGGCCCTGAGGGGTGCGGCGGCCCTGAGGGGTGCGGCGGCCCTGAGGGGTGCGGCGGCCCTGAGGGGTGCGGGTCCTGCCGCCACTCGGGGTGTTTTTCTGCTGTGCTGCTGGTGCAGCAGCCCTAAGTCCCATGACCTGGTCTCGTCCTCTCCGGAAGGGGCTGCGCGGCCCATCCTGGGTGGCCTCGAGTTGCCAGGCTGGGGTGTGTGTGTCCTGCAGCCTGCGGTCGCTCAGGCGCTGGTCTGTCGTTTGGACAGCCCCTAGTCCTGGCTCTCGTTAGCACCATTACTTAGCCCTAGGGGCTTTGGATCCCCTTTGGGCTGTTGCCGTTGCCCTCGTGGCTGCTCCCATGTCATTTCTTATAAGCAGCTTGCACTGGAAATGAGTGAGAAGATTGGGACTAGTGATAACACATTAACATAACTTTGCAGCAGGCTGTTTGTGGTGCTGAGTAGTACAACACCAGGTAAATCACAAACGCCAAGTGTAACCAAACCAGGTTAACCAGTGTGGCTGCTGCAGTGCTTAGGAAGGTACATGTATCCATGTATATATATATATATATATATATATACGTAAATGTGGATGTGCAGTTTATCCAGAGCTCTTGTTAGCCTCTGTATTGCAAGAGTGGCTTTCTCCTTGGCACTGACAGCTTTTAATTGTATTTTTTGTAGCCTATTTAAGTAGATCATTGAGCAACACAACTGGAGTTTTAATTGCCTTGCTGATAGCATTCCTTCATAGATGACAATTCTCTTTGATTGGGGAGCAACTACTGAAGCACTTTCTTCATCATTCCCTGCATTCCTGATGAGCTCCTCAAGTGATGAGTTTGGACTGTTCCTTGCTGGGAAGGAGAAGAGTCTCTGTTCCAGTGGCCACCCTTGGAAGTGATTCTTGTTTTCAAGTTACTGGCCATTGCAGCTGGGTGAAATAATCCTCTAGCTCGTTGATGATGCTGTATTATGAATTGTGTGGTTTGGGCAAAATTTGTACTTTTCTCTTTGCCACTGTGTTTAGGTTTTATCCTGTTCTGTTGCAGAAGGGACATGACATGGAAGTACTATGTTAGTGTGTTGTTACTTGATTGAAATGTCTTTTCTGGTTATATTCCTGATGGACTTTTTTTAATGTTCTGGGGACACACAGGGGCTAGAAGGCACATCAGTCTTTCAGAGGAGGAGGGGTGAGCCTGCAGTTAGTTAGTATGTCTGCAGAATCGGAGACATCAGGACTAATACAAGCTCAGGGAGGGAAATGCTGTTTAAAAATAAACTTCAAACATAGATCTGTTTTGTCTCTTAATTTTTACAAGATCAGTGGGTGAGAGATACCTTAAAAATATGTGAACGCACAAAGTATTCCTATCTGTCTGTCTTTGTAAGTAAGCTTTTGTTTTCTTCTTTTGAGACATTTTAGAAATAATGGAACTTTGGTGAGTTCTTAATTTTGTAAAGGTGTAGAGAGTTTGAATGATGATGTTACAATGTGTGTGGTACTTCACAGGTTAAGATTTTTATCACAAATGCAAGAAGGGATCATGGACCCTTGGTTTTGATGATGAGAGCAAGGAGCAGCGATCCAGCACCTGTCTGGATATTGCAGATACTTTGTATGTCAAACTAAATAACGATGCCTCATCAACTAAAAGGTGAACCCAAATGCAATTTTCATCCTCGTGCAGGTAAGCCTTTTTCAAATGTGGCCGGCTGCTAAATTACTTTTTAATCTTTACTTTCAAAAATACAGAAGCTACAGCCTGCGTTAGGGGGAGAACTGTTGTTAGGTGTCCTCGGGGTACAACAAGCGAGAAGCGGTTTGGTCGCTCCTGCACTTCCTCTGTGGGTCACAAGATGGGGTACGAATACTCAGAAAGATGATTGTCCAAGTAACTCATTCAGCAGTGAAACACCATCTTAACACTGTATTTTGCTGAGGCACTGTAATAATTCTTGCTAGCACACAAACAGAATTTACTAGAGGTAGTAGTTATTAAATGTTACTTTCCAGGAGTCATATTCAGAAAGTTTATAAGAGGTATGAGTAAATTCAGTTGTGCAATTTCAGTAATTTACAGCTTGTGTTGGCTATAGTGAGGATTCAGTTTCTTACTGCAGCCTCTGCTCCTCCAGCAATCACAGCTACCAGATCCATGAGGAGGGATATGGAAGCATTTTTACAGATGACACATTTCTTTTTAAGCAGGAAATAGTGAGTGATGGTGTTCTCCTGGGCCTGTGCTTTGCCAGATGCATGCTGATTCATTGGTGGCTGTTGCTCAATATACCCATAAATAGGAAGTGCCCTTGGTTTTGGCTTAGAGAACAATTCCACAGGCAGCAGACAGTTGTTGAGGTGACAAATTGTTTTATCACTTTTTGCCTAACTTAAGTCTTGTATTTTAATGAGGAATTCCAGTCCTTCTTGTTGTGGATTCCCAGTTGTGGATTAGCAGGCCATTTTCACTAGCAGTGATTATTTCAAAAGCAGATCAAGGGACACTGAAACCATGTGTCTTGAAATGTGATAGCACAGAATCATTTAGGTTGGAAAAGACCCTTAAGATCATCAAGTCCAACTGTTAACCCAGCACTGTCCTGTGTATCCTAGGAAGAGTCTGGTCTTGCAAAATAGTGCCAGATAGTTCTGCTCCCCTTTCTATTTCTTTAGTACAGATACGGATTGGAGAGTTTTAATCCTTTTTCTCATCTAACTGGATAACAGTGTAAAAAAGGCTGAAAACAAACATCAGTTCAGAAGATGATTCAGATGTATAAACCACTCATTCTGATAAATTCATCAAATGAAGTTCTTTGGAAAAGGGTGATGTAGAAAGCCCAAGTTCTGACTGCAGCTGGTAGGTGCAGCAAACCAGTAGTATGTTGCTCCTGTGGATCACCTCATACTGTACTTAAGCTTCAGTTTTATCAGCTGTAAAAGATCAGAAGTGACAGTGAAGTTATTCTGAGCATTTGACTTGTCAAGCACTGCCTGACTGCAGCAGCGATTACAAGCTGTAACCTTAGCCATGTGAACCTCAGGTTACCTTCTGAACACAACATTCATTACAATTAAACAGCACCTGATCAGGAGCTTGGGGCAGCACCTTAGCAGGCTCTAAGTGAGAAGCAAGAGATAAGGGTGATAAAATTCACAGTTGGTTCCAGTTCTATTCATTCTGTGTGACAGTGACAATGTCAGTACATGTCTCTTTACAAATGACACAAAGTTAGAAGATGATCAAAATAGTGAAGATGAAAAAAGTGTGAAAAGACCTGGCAGCATTGGGACTGGAGGGAGTGTCCCAGCCTGGTGAACATGGAAGCGCATGGTCGCATAGGATTGGAACTGGTGGAACCTAGATCCCCGTTTGCTTCTGGATTTTCCATTAAGAAGTTATGTACAAGTGACAGCTGAAGCTTTTCTCACAATTAGGGCATTCATATTTCTCCACCATTCCCATATGAATCTTGTAATATAAAAAAAACAAAAACCAAACCTTTAAATTATGCTGCACCCTCATTTCATTGAGAGTCAATAAAAACATCATTAAGTTTGTGGGAACTTAGTCTCTTATTTCAGTTAAATTTGCTTGAAAGTGGCCAGTGGGTTCAAAAGGAACAAGAGGAAGAAGGATGGACACATACACATACCTTGGAAAGAGGAATAAAAGTATCAAATGGAATTTGGTACAAGGACTGTATCTGCCACTTCTTTTATGAAGCATGTGCATGTTGAGAATAAAGTTGCTGGTTCATGTTCTCTCAAAAGCATCTTGAGAGTAGTTAAGTCAGGGATGCAATACCTGCTCTTTGATTTGCACATTCCACCAGTATACCTGTCATCTCGCTTTCTCATGGGGTACCAAGGAGCTGTGGGGAAATAACAGCTTTTAGTCCCAGTCTCGTCTGTTACCCTCATTAGCAGCATCTGTTTCTTGCACAAGGAGGCTTAGTACTGAGTAGGGGCTGATCCTATAAGCTTTCGGCATCAGTGCTTTGATCACTACCACCTCTCAGGCATGATCTGAAGTGGTATTTTAAAAGGAAAGCCTTCTACACATGGAAAGTAATAATCATAGAATAGTTAGGGTTGGAAAGGACCTCAAGATCATCTAGTTCCAACCCCCCTGCCATGAGCAGGGACACCTCACACTAAAGCTTGCCACGCAAGGCTTCATCCAGCCTGGCCTTGAACACTGCCAGGGATGGAGCATTCACAGCCTCCCTGGGTAACCGATTCCAGTGCCTCACCACCCTAACAGGAAAGAATTTTTTCCTTATATCCAATCTAAACCACCCCTCTTTAAGTTTTAACCCGTTACCCCTTGTCCTGTCACTACAATCCCTAATGAAGAGTCCCTCCCCAGCATCCCTATAGGCCCCCTTCAGATACTGGAAGGCTGCTATGAGGTCTCCACGCAGCCTTCTCCAGGCTGAACAGCCCCATCTTTCTCAGCCTGTCTTCATATGGGAGGTGCTCCAGCCCCTGATCATCCTCGTCGCCTCCTCTGGACTTGTTCCAACAGTTCCATGTCCTTTTTATGTTGAGGACACCAGAACTGCACACAATACTCCAGGTGAGGTCTCACAAGAGTAGAGCAGAGGGGCAGGATCACCTCTTTCGACCTGCTGGTCACGCTCCTTTTGATGCAGCCCAGGATACGGTTGGCTTTCTGGGCTGCAAGCGCGCTCTGCTGGCTTATGTTTATTTTCTCATCAACCAACACCCCCAAGTCCTTCTCCTTGGGCTGCTCTGAATCTCTTCTCTGCCCAACCTGTAGCTGTGCCTGGGATTGCTCCAACCCAGGTGTACGACCTTGCACTTGGCATGGTTAAACTCCATGAGGTTGGCATCAGCCCACCTTACAAGCATGTCAAGGTCCCTCTGGATGGCATTCCTTCCCTCCAGCGTATCAACCGAACCACACAGCTTGGTGTCATCGGCAAACTTGCTGAGGGCGCACTCAATCCCACTGTCCATGTCAGCGACAAAGATGTTGAATAAGACCGGTCCCAACACCAATCCCTGAGGGACACCACTCGTTACTGGTCTCCAGCTGGATATTGAGCCATTGACCACAACTCTTTGCATGCGGCCATCCAGCCAGTTCTTTATCCACCGAGTGGTCCACCTATCAAATTGATCTCTTTCCAATTTAGAAACAAGGATGTTGTGTGGGACAGTGTCAAACGCTTTGCACAAGTCCAGGTAGATGACATCAACTGCTCTACCCCTGTCCGTCAGTTCCGTAGCCCCATCATAGAAGGCCACCAAATTGGTCAGGCAGGATTTCCCCTTAGTGAAGCCCTGCTGGCTGTCACCAAGCACCTTGTTGTTTTTCATGTGCCTTAGCATGCCTTCCAGGAGAATCTGCTCCAAGATTTTGCCAGGCACAGAGATGAGACTGAGTGGTCTGTAGCTCCCTGGGTCATCCATCTTCCCCTTGTTGAAAATGGAGGTTATATTTCCCTTTTTCCAGTCATTGGGAACTTCACCTGACTGCCATGATTTTTCAAATATGATGGACAGTGGCTTAGCAACTTCATTTGCCAGCTATTCTTCCAGAATCTCTTCATTCTCCCAGAATCCTATATATCCCTTCTTACATAGTACCAGGAGTACTATTCAACATATCCCATGTTAGATTTCCAAAAAGGTAGTCCTGATACTACCAAAAGAAAATGCAGCTGAAAACTTCTTAAGTTTTCCAGAGCTAAAATGTGCAGAAATTGAGCGGGCATTACCCTGAAAAGCAGAAAGGCATTTGTATTCATTGCCAAAGGAATGTAGAGAAATGATGTAAGGAAAAAAAGTGGTAGGTAGGCTCTATGCCTGCTGAAAACTTAAATGGTGCACTTATATGAATATGTTCTGGAACAATGATCAGCAGATTAACAAATCCATGAAGTGTTACAGCCCAGCATTTATAATATTTAAAGACATATAAATTATTTTGTAATTCCCTTGAATAAATTGGTAACCTCACCTTAGTACTTAGCAATAAGTTTATATGGAATTAACTATGTGTGGTTATGGTTTAAGGATGGTAGAGAGTAAAATTCAAAGTGCTTAAAGGTGTACAGTTGTAGGAAGGATTCACAGCATAGGCTGTACATAGGCTCCTTATCCCCAACATCTCTAAATCCACTCCTGTTAGACAGCCTGTGTTAATCTGTCCTAGGCTACTGTTGTAGTGACACTCTTGTAGTGTCAGCTTCCCAACAGTTACTAGTTTATGGTGGTACACTAAAGCAGGCAACAGAGCATATATAATGAACACCTCTCATTCTGTTTGTCTTTCAAAGTGACTTTTAGTTGTTTTATGGATACTGTTAGAAGTGTGAAAACCAAGTGTTGTTCGTGAAGCTGTAGTGGTTTGTCTTCCAAACCAAGACTGCTGCTGTATGTGTTCCATTGGCATTTGCAGTACACGATGTGAATTTTGCCAAATCACATGCCTTTTAGTTGCTAAATAAAAAAAAAGCATATTCCCTTTCTGTGTCATGTGAATTTTGCTATCAGATGGCATAGGATAGTTTCACATTCAATAAACTGTACTATTGGACCTTACAGCACACAGAGTATTACATGTTTTGCATCTTGGTGATACATAGTGCTAGATAGCCCACTGGTGATGGGGTGTAGTGGAAAATGACGCATAAGTGCAGATGAACAATCCTTAGCTGCAAAACCTTTGAATGATGGAGGTAGGTGATATCTGCAGGAAGGATAAATATCTGTGTCATTTCTTCATTCGTACTGCTTGCGTGTTAGACAGTACAGTCACACAAGCATGCACTAACACATACAAACCAGGGTTTTTTGTATGAGGGAGAGAACTCCTGACTTATGCCTAGTTTAGGAGGTGCTTTCTGTGCCTGAATGATGAAGGCACACGTCAGTATGGGATACAGTGAACAATGGCTTCACTGGTGGAACAGGAGACACTGAAATGGCACCGTAAGACTGAAGAGCAGACCAGAAAGCAGATGTAGTTTTGTAAAGTTTAGTGTTTGAATATGACGTTTGAGTGAGGTGCAGTGAAATGAGGAGCCAGTCGGAGAATTTGAAGAGGAGATGGCAGTTTTCAAAGACAAATGGACAATATGTGTCCACAGTGTGTCTAGAAAATTACTAATCACCCTCTGTGGCACTGGGTCCTAGGTCCA